GCATCTGCAGTGGCATGGACGCGAATCTCCTGTGCGGAGTCTTCAGTGCAATGGGTGCGTGTTTCTTGCTGGGAGGCGTATTTTCGTCCTTGACCGAAGCAGACGCGGCCCTAGCCCTCTTCTTCGCACGCGGAACGTAAGAACACAGGAAGAACTATGAAGAGAAAAAAAACCTTAGGAATATCTAGATTCGTGAGGGTCTTGGAAGCGTTCAAATCATTTTCGGCAACGGTTTGAACCCCAACATCACGCTTAGAGATAGAAAGGCCCAGAAATTGGATAGTTGTAAGGTAAGATTCAATCTATGATTAAAAGGTAATTTAGATCAGGCCTAGGAACATGCGCAGGCCAACCACTCACAAGATATTCCAGGTCGTCTGGTATTCCCGCCGTCCGAGTCGTATCCAACGTACTTCCCACTGCGGTCCTACTGTAATGATTCTTGTCAAGTGAGTATGGAGGGAGTTTCCAGCGAGGTCGAGAGAGCTTGAGTAGGGACTAATAAAACCACAAGTTCAATATCAGTCTCGCCAAACGATATAGTGTCCCTTACTCTGAACCTAACGTGATCTTCACTGATTTCGCGCTGATGAATGATTAGAACGTAACAAGTCTTCTAGCATTTTAATATACTCACTGCTTGTTGTACACGTCTCCTGTTCCGGTTACTAGAGCGCGACAGATATTCTCCAACAAGGAATTACTGAGAACGTTATTGGGCTTTCCCGCCAAACAAAGAAGAATATCGCTACTGAATTGACGAGAGATCTTGGCTAGTACGGGTTTTGAGCTCGACGCAGGAACACAGTTCTAAAATGAGAAATTGTCAACAACGAAACCCTACTCTGAGAGACTCTGAGCGAGATGATGGAACTTACCATCAAATCATGAAATGACAAGAGACTATGCTCCTTCTTTAAAATATCCCGCGTAATCCCTTGCATCCTCATATTGCCGGAAAATAAGAGCGAGTTCGTGACCGTAACGTTGGAAGTTTGCTTTTCGATGCTGGATAGATCAACCAAAGACGCGACATTCTGAGTAGCGTTCTGACTGTACAAACGATGAAGGTCTCTAAGAAACGGATCAGATGGAACAAGGTCCATCGAAATATAAATTATGAGATTGGACGGGAGAACGTAGATTCTGTGTGTCGCCTGGGTGTCGAGGATAGTGATGGTAAGAAGAAAGTGTGGTTGAATGACGTAAGTGCTATATTAGGTGTGGTCAAAGCGTTGAATATCAATTCATATGAGTCATGAGCTATAACATCTCAATCCAAATCTAAATTTGCTTTCTCTTTTCTTCCGTTGCATAAGATGATAATCACAGGTCAATTCTTCAACTTGAAGGTTTACTGAAGGAATAAAGTGACAAGGATGGGAGCATCGGCTACCACTCATGGACCTTTGCTGTTCTCTAGAAAAAGAACTTTTTGAGACATGGTAGTTCGGGATGAGAGAGTGTGGCTTCTATCTCGACCGTCATAGATATGAGTACCGCACTACCTAGTCTGTCACCAGCAATGTCTGTACCGAGAATTGCAGGATACTTCTGGACGAAGAAGCCAAATGCTTGAATCCACTGGGTTCAGAGCAACACTGATGATGACTTTGACAGAGACCTGCCCGGGATCAGGCTTCAGGATGGGAGCATCAGCTACCACGAATGCACCTTTGCTTTTCTCTAGAAAAAGCACTTTTTGAGACATGGTAGTTCGGGATCAGAGAGTGTGGCTTCTACCGTCATATATATGAGTAGTGCCGCACATAGGTAGTACCTATTTTGGAAGGATGATAAATGAAAGGTTAGTTGGTAAGCCGTTTTCGAACTCGATAGAGTTATTCAGCCTCGTCGTACAAGTGATTACACTAGAATACGCGAATGACAAAGCGTAAATACTCGAGAGGAAAGTCGATTGGTACTACTCCGAGCCATCGGGATTCTCCAAGAACCGTAAACCTTTGCTGATATGTGTTATTAGGAGATATAATACCTGGCTTCTTCGCCGTTCGTTCTCCATTCTGTTACAATTGTGACCTTCGAAGATAGCTTTCAAAGTACTCGGTGAGGTAAAGAAATTGAAAGAGCCGCCTTTGCTCATATCCGAGCCTGCTCACATTGATCAGTTGCAATTTGAGTCAGCATTCTTCAACTTATTGTAAGCTGAGTTTTGAGTTAAGTATCTTGCGCTACTTACGCGTCTTGTACACACGCGCCGTAAATCGACAGTGGCATTGTTATCTCCCTTGATATTATTGGAACGTCTCGGGGCGGGTTGGATTCGATTATGCCCAAACGTGCCACGCACCGATAGTTGAGAAAAAATCCTCTCCAGAGCTTCGGCGCTTTAAATTTGGGAAAATGCTCGGAATGGCGCGTTCTCTTAGGCGAATACGCCAAGAGAAAGACTGAGGACACATATTGCAGTGGCAGTGGTAAACTGAAGAAACAAAAGACAGAGGTCGAGCGCTTCTTTGGCGCTGTTATGCGCAATTCAAGTTGCCAGAAGTAGTTAACCTGCCTGGCATCCCGTCACCGTGCTCTTCGCACCCCTCACTCGGATGGGAAGCAGACCTAATAAGCTAAATCGAGATCAATCGTATATACTTATAAGAGTCGTTATAATGATTCTGCACTACTGATACACTTTGATACTATTCCTCTGGCCAGTAGCCAAGACGCTCACTAGACCGTTTCCTGGGGGAAAGCAATCAATTTAACACCACTAACTTTATTGTCCTTCAATTTCTTCAATCCATCGTCGATTCCGGCAAGACCATTGGGGAGTTTCTCCACACGGTTGGGCTAGATGAGGCGATTATATCTCAGAACTGCGAACGCATATGAGCTCAATCGTGTCATAACTCACCACGATCGTTCCATCTTGTAGCAATCTAGGCAAGTGCTTCCACAAAATACGACAAAAGTCCCTATTCTGGGGCATATGCGAACTTCCAAAGATCGGGATCACCTTCTTTCCATCTCCTCGATCTTTAGCTTGTGGGTCCACCGAGGCCAACTTTCCGCCCTCAGTAAGAGAATCAAGAGCAGCAACTATAGAAGCATTGTCTCCGACTCCGTCGTAAACGTTTTCAATTGGAGCGTTGGCGATTTTCTTGACGGCCTCCGCCAGCTTATCGACAGAAACCTCTCCACGGTCAATGACGTGCGTGGCACCGAGGGATTTCAAGAAATCAGTGTGTCTGGCAGAGGCATACGTGATGATTGTGCTGAAGCCAAGAAATTTGAAGATTTGGATGGCTATGCAGAATCGTAGATGGGTGAGAATACTTACCACGGCTGACGATGAGATGAAATGACGAACCATATTGACCAACTGACGTGCTGCCGCCCAAAACGAACGCTGGTTTTCCGGCAAAGCTAACTTTGGAATCAAAGGTAGGATTGAGAGCTAGTCCGTTTTCGGACAGGATACCAACAGCGGAAGTGGTGAATGCCAAGAGGAATTGACGAAGCCTGCGCGTAGTCGATGTTGGAAGGGATCTAAATGATCGATCAAGCTAGGAACGTCTAGGAACGCGTCATACGAGATAACTGACCTTGCCAACGATATCAGCGAGAATCAGAGTGTACTGCTGGAAGCCAGCGAATTCGTTGGCAAAGAATCCCTGGAAGAAGCTGATAAATGGGTATCAGCCAGCCATCCAGCCAGAAACAAGTTGTAAACATACACTTTATCGCCTTTGGCAAAGCCTTCGACACCGTCACCGACCTCTTCCACATCGCCAGCAATGTCTGTACCGAGAATTGCAGGATACTTCTGGATGATGAAGTCAAATGCTTGAATTTTCCAATCAACTGGGTTCAGAGCAGCACTGATGACTTTGACAGAGAGCTGCCCGGGACCAGGCTTCAAGATGGGAGCATCAGCTACCACGAATGGACCTTTGCTTTTCTCTAGAAAAAGAACTTTTTGAGACATGATGGTTCGGGATGATGGAAATTGGAATGGCTTCTATTTCGACCATTATATATATGATTACCGCATTACCTTCAGCCTCCTTCCCAGGCTGCGGGACTCGCGGACCGCTGGTACCGAATTCGAGACGAATTACTCGTCCCTACGCCTGGCACATTTCGGGGCGTGTCTTGTTTGGTCCCCTGCCAGAAAATGGTGGCAGTGCCTATTTTTAAGTGTGATTCGGAATTTCCGGCGCCGAAATGTGCCAGGCGTAGGACGAGTAATTCGTCTCGAATTCGGTACCAGCGGTCCGCGAGTCCCGCAGCCTGGGAAGGTGGCTGCATTACCTTGTGATTACCGCATTACCTTGTTTAAATTACGCTAGATTACGCGAATGACAAAGCGTAAATACTCCAATAACTATGTAGTAAGCTGGAGAATCCACTGTAAGGGAGAAGAGGATGCAAGCGCCAACAATGAGATCAACGAGTCATTATACGGGCCTGTTCAATCGAGGAAAATCAAGCTTCCTCTGTTGACTTTGATATGCATGTTGCAACCGCTTCATCTAGATAAATAGCACCAATACGGTTGCACAGGATGACGAGGAAGACTCCCATGCTCGATAAGTGTTAGGAAATCGGACTCGAACAAAAAGGACCAGTCCATTGAATCTAGTAAAAAAAAGACGAAACAGCGAATGCCTGATCTATATGTACACACATCCGTACGGATCGTTTTCATGAGTCTACCTAGGGAAGACTAGACCTTATCGGCTACGCCCAATACTACGACGACGATTACAAAAAGCTGGAACGTTGGTACTGAAATCAAGGTCCTCAAATTGTGTACTGGAACAATATAGTGTATAGACTACTACTTACAGAGATCTAAATACAACTGTAGCCTGACGGAAATGCGATGGGCACTTTTAATCTTCTTGTTCAATAAATCTAGTTGATGTGGTACTCGAAATTTTGGCTGTTCATGTCAGTATACAAGCCCTCAGCTGCATCGTTAGTATAAAAATACAAAAGTAAATATAATCGCACAAAAGATCACATTCCAAATCCTATTCCGACACGGGGAATCGAGCCCCGGGCTATCGCGCTCACACTATTTCTTCTATTTCACGTATGAGAGGCGATAATGTTAGCCACTACACCATATCGGAATAACCAAATTTCAACGTATTATTTATGTGTAGCAATAATCAGGTACAGCGCCTAGTTACTCGAATTACATCGGTTGGCGAACAAACAACTTATTTGCTGCTCACAGCGATATCGATTGCAACTGAGAATGAAAGCCTATCGTAAGCTGGGCGATTGTTCTTCAGGACGATCCGACCTTCAAGTTCCGGCAGTCCTAGTCAGTCATAGTAGCATAGTAATGAAAACACTATAGAGTAAACAGTATCACTGTATAGAATTATCCCCAACCCACTTTCAAGAATGGGCAAAGGCTTTTAGTAGTATATATACATACTTTTCCGTCCTAGCTAAGCCACCTTTCAGCCAGTTCTCCAGCCTACACGAAGTCGAGCCATTAAACCCGTAATCTACGTCCTTTTTCCCTTTCGAGCAGTCGGAAATTGAACAGGAGCGACGAGTACAGCAAACTTGGTATCCGACAGCGAATCTGAGAGACCTCGGCTAGCACGTTCACGTTCCGGAAGGGTTTTTAGTTTGCAGCCAAGGCTGCGGTAGGCTGCATTGATGCTAAAGGATGAAAAGGATGAAAGACACGTCCCAAAGGAAAGAAACAACAGCACGTACTTGGTGACAGACATACTGAGATCTTCAGCTAGAATCTTTGGATTGGAGGCAAAATCGTCTACTCGGAGACAGAGAGCGAGAAGGTAGGCCATGAATTTCGTAGTCATTGCCGAGGTGAATTTATGGCTATGTGTTGGGTTGAATGGCTAGTCTCAAGCTGACGGAAGCGTCACTTACAGTGAAGAACCCCTGGTCGTCTCCGTAAATCTCGAAAGAAGACCATCGACGATGATTGGGGGGACGTTGTTCATCTTTTCGTAAACGGTATCCTTTTCCAAACCTTTTGGATGGTTGATTGTACGACGAAACAAGAACATTGTAGCGATGTAGAGAAGGATTTTTCTATACGGCGTTGTCAGAGACTGACCGTAATGACTTCAAAGGAAGCTTACATTTTTCGTTTTCGTCCCTTGCTCTTCTCTTCCTCTTGACCCATCCGACGCAGATGATTGTTGACCCATTGGCAATATTTCCAGGGTAGCATACCGTTGTCCTTGAGATTTTCTTCGATAGGTGCGATGTTTAGAGCCTTGAATTCAGGATCCGGGATGATATCGTTCAAGGGATATATGTCTGCTGGATCAGTAGCTGTGGCGGAGAACGGTGGTACGAGACGCGCAGAGTCGGCTAGGTCCTTTGCTTCCTCTACATCAAAAAGTCAGTCTTGGACGCGTACATCGAGCGCTTGAGCATACCCTTGCTTAACAATCCTTCTGCTTTTTCATCAATACCTTCGACAACATGTTGCATGACGCCTTGCATGGCACCAACATCAACACGATTTCGTTCTTGTGCTCGGATAGCAGCTTTAGCCTTCTTGGTGCCAAAGGTTTCGCCAAGAGCAGTACGCGCTTCTCGATATGCCAAACCAGAAGGAGCATCGTCGGGGGCGACTGATTTTAGGGCTTTCACGGTGCGGGTAAGGATAAAAGGTGTTTTGGCGGTAGGGAGTATCTTTATTTTTGATGTTCGAGGGTCACGGACAGCGAGAAGATAGCTAGAGAGAATATATATAAGTAATATTGAAAAGAAAGAAAGATAATACACGTACCGACATCCAGCATCAGCAGCTCGTTTGCTTTCCTCTTCGTTGGAGATGAATTCGACCGCCGGAGCTTCCCCTACGACCAACGTGCGGTCGTACTTTTCTCCGTCATCATCCTTTTCCTTTTTCGCTTTCTTGCGACCATAACATTTGAAAGGTGTGTCTTTTGGAGCTTGGAGAGCAGGGAAACTGACTGCTGGCTCATAAGTCAGGGAAACTTGAGATCACTTGGAAATTTACTTGCCGAGGATTGGACCAATGGATCCAGTAGATGGAGAGGGACCTAGCTCGAAAGAAAGGCTCTCATTAGATGGATCGTCTCGTTTCCTTTTCGATGAGGGCATGCCTGTAGTGGTGGTACAGGTCTGAGATTGAAAAAATTATCTCTTCTCCTGACGCCCATTCTCTCCGGAACCTTTCTTCAATTCCATCAGTAGATTATGTGGACATCTTTCACTTCTAAACACTAAACTACTACAAGGGTCTTTTTTGCTTGTCAAATTCAATCACGATTCACAAACAATGTCTAACCCGGACCACGACTCGGAGGGCTCCCAACCAGCCACTCCGACTTCTCCCTCTCTTTCTGTAGGAAGGACAGCGATGAGCACCGCTAGTGCGTCTGCTTCGCCGCAGGATTATACTCCTCCGCCGCTGCCTTCCAGAAAACAGAGCGCTACAACAAATGCGTCAACCCAGTTCATAGGCCATCTTCCAATTGCTCGGGAAGAGGCCATAAAAACCTTCAAACAGATATCTGACAACTGGTACCAGTATAAAATACTGGGCCGTACCAGAGAGCTATTAGAGAGTATGATATGTGACTGTACTTTTGACCCAGGTGAGCTGCAAGGCAGACTCGGAAAACTAAGAATCTTTCCTTGACCATTCGAGTAGACTTTGACGACGATGACGTTGCTTGTGGGCACGATTCCGACTGTATAAACCGACTTACGCAGATCGAGTGTCTCGCGGGAGACTGTAGATGTAAGGGTTATTGTCAAAACCAGCGGTTCGTATGACGGTTGCTGCTGGGAGGAAATCGACTCATTTCGCTCCAATTCAGGTTTCAAAAGAAGCAGTATGCTCCAATAGAGATCGTAAAGACAGAAAAGAAGGGTTATGGGCTCAGAGCAGAGCAGGATATGGCCAGGTGCGTCTTTGCTCGTCCTTTTTTTCGATTGAAACGTTTCTGACTCGTGTACTATCCTCCAAACGCATTTTCGGCGCCGTAGAGATACTTTTATATACGAGTATGTCGGAGACGTGGTTAACAACAACTCGTTCAAGAAACGAATGCGGGATTACGCCAACGAAGGGATTCAGCACTTTTACTTTATGATGTTGCAAAAGGATGAAGTGCGTCGACGTAGCATCGGCACTGAGTCCGGTTCCTGATACTTGTTCCTCTTCTAGTTCATCGACGCTACTAAATCCGGTGGAATTGGTCGTTTTGCGAATCACAGCTGCAATCCAAATTGTTACGTGGCCAAGTGGACGATAGACCAGCATGTTCGCATGGGTATATTTGCGAAAAGGAACATCAAGAAGGATGAAGAGCTCACCTTCAACTACAACGTCGATCGCTATGGGTGAGACAAAGATATTTCGCCACATACATATCATGGTTTACTGATTCACCTTCAAGTCACCAAGCACAAATTTGTTACTGTGGGGAACCAAACTGTGTCGGTTTCATCGGTGGAAAGACCCAGACAGATGCGGACATTTCGACCATGGATGAGCTATATCTCGACGGTACGTGGTGTGCTTGTGCATTGGTACATGAGCTAATCGTGACCCTTATAGCACTCGGTATCACTGACGACGCAGTGCTCCAAGAACTCAAGGGCACGAAGAAGAAGAAAGGAAAGAAGATCGACGATCCCGACTTTATGCCTGCAATGAAGCCCGTTACAGAGAAGGAGGTTCCCAAAGTTGTACAAGCAATACGACAGACTCAGAGCAAGAAGATGCTGTTCAAACTGTTGACGCGATTAAAGGCATTACCTTCTTCCTGTAGTGTCCAGCACTATCGCTTACTTCAGTTGTAGATGACCGAGGAGCAAGCCCCTTTGCGCCAGGTAATGCGATTACGTGGCTTCAGTCTCATGAAGAATATCCTGGAGGATTACGTGAGCGATATGGAAATTGTTGCATTGGTGAGTGTCTGTCGTTCCATGGAATCGTTGTGTACCATCTCTGAGGGTTCCTCAGGCTCTCCAGTCAATGCTGTCATGGCCTCTCATCGTCAAGAACAAGGTGGAAGATTCACAGATATCTATCCCAGTCAAGCTATGCATGGAATCTGAGAACGAAAACGTGAAAACATGGGCTGAGAAGGTAGAAATTCCGTGTTGTCGTGGTTCCTTATTCTGACACCAGGCGCAGCTCCATTCACATTGGGAGACGCTGGAACTCAGTTATCGAATACCTCGGCTCCCAAGACGGGAGAGGGTACGTCTCTTTCTCATTTAATCTCTACTCGTAAATCTTATTAGTCCACGATCTCCAGCCCGTTGAAGAAGAACCTGAACCTGAACCTGAAACCGAACCCGCGCCCACACTCCAATTTATACCCACTCAACCCCGCAACCATCGTACTTCATCATATATCGAGGAAGACAGAGATCGCTATCCGGTCAAACGCCATCGTGGCCCAAACCTGCAGTTCTATACCCCTTACGTTGCTCCCAAGCCCAATCCCGAAGAACCAGTGGTGCCATCACTACCATCCAGAATAGAGCTTGTGAAGCAGCAGCAGGCGGAGTTGGATGCTATTATTGCAGCGGCGAGAGAAGAGAAGGCTCAAGCTGAAGCGAAAGCTCAGGCGGAGGCAGAGGCGGAGGCAATTGCGGAGGAAGAGAGAAGGCTGAAAAAGGAGCGGGCAAAGGCTGAGGGTGGTGGTGGTGGTGACGGTAGTAGTAGTAAGAAACGGCCAAGGGATAGGGATAGGGAGAAGAAGGAGCGAAGAAAGGATAGGCGGGAGAATGCAGATAAGGAAGCGTTGAAGGAGAAGAAGCTGTTGAAGCTGATCAGTCCTGTGGTAGTCAAGTCCATGTCCAAACATGCATCTGCTATTGGACATGAGCGGTTCAAGAAGTATGCCAAGGAGGTGCGTGATTCAGTTTTTTCATAACCCTGCACCATACTTAACCTTTCCTTCCAGCTGACAGAAAAGATCGCCGAACGTGAAAAGAAGTCTTCCGCATTCCAGGAAAACAAACTCGACTCGCTCTCGGACGAGAAGGTCGTCAAGATCAAAAAGTACGCAAAGGAGTACATCGATAAGCTGTTGCGCAAGATGGACTCCAAGCCGAGTCGAAAACCTTCTTCGTCCATGTCAGCCTC